ATACATATAGCAGAAGCCATAGGAATACACATTAAAAGACCCAATCTCTGTATACAGAAAGATTTTATACAACTTTAGAATCTACTCTGGCTTCCTATTTAGATACCATTCAATGTTTCGGAACCTTTGATTCCTTTCTCTTAAAAGGAGTTTTCGATCTTCGATTTCATTAACATTTTAATTTCTATTTATTTATTTTATTAAACTTATTCACCAGCATTTAATTGATGTCGACTTTCTGCTGACTTGTTAAACGTATATAATAGTGTAGAGAGTTGATGAAGAACTTCTCAAAAAGAAATATTACTTCGCTCAACTTGTCTTTTTAATATCTCAATGGGAATATTTAGTGAATTTCATATTTATCGTAACTGTCAAGTGAACTGGACGGAAGCCAGAAGAAATACAGTTAGGCTGGTCGTACATTAATTTCTTCATCCTGAAGGTATTAACTTCTACCACTAATACTAACGCTAATACTAATACTAGTATGAGAAAAAATAAATTACGGATGCGATCGCTCGTTTTTAGAAAATAACATTATCTAGAAGAAAATTGGGCGAGACTATAATTTATAGACGTACAAATCAGATTTGTGACAACAGGTCTTGGATTTTGCCTCGTGTTTCATTCATCTATTTGGATGAACAAAGTTTTGGCATTTTAGTTGATGTCAGTTTGTGATGAAAACTCTAAATCTAGTTCCTAATCTTAACCGTCAGTTGTAAACCATAAATCTAATTCCTGATACTGCTTAATAACCCTCATTTAGTCCTGATTATTAGGTGAACACTCTCAAGGTCATTTAAGCGTCGCGCAAAGATCATCCATAAATTATAGTCTTACCGTAAATTGTCTTCAACCGACTAACTTCGTTCTCCTTCTTATTAAATATGATTAAAGAAACACTTCAACAAACCTCTGCACTCTTAGTAGTTTGTCATTCTTTCCACTAATTGGCAAAGTGACTGCAGGACAATCTGAAACCTATGGTTATTTTTCCTTTCAAGCTATTGAATATTTTAAAGATTTACTAAATGAAATTTTCATAGTTGAAATCATGAGTCAATTGAAGCCAGACCATCATGGAAAACCTGGAAGCACTGTTTGACGGCCGTTTCGTCCTATTATGGGACTCCTCAGCAGTCCCCATCCACGATCCCGCACTCTGTTGTAGAGATATCAACTCACTGAAGACAATTGGTGAACGATTGGTCAAAATCGTGGATTGGTTGAAGTTAGACATTAACACCGTTGGATGCCGGCTGGCTCAGTGGTCTATCTATTAAGTGCTCTGCCGCGAGACTGGTAGGTCCTGAGTTCGAATCTCGTGAGTGCGGGATCGTGAATGCGCACTGCTGAGGCGTCCCACAGTAGGACGAAACGGCAGTCAAGCAGTGCTTCCAGGTTTCCCATGGTTGTCTGGCTTCAATTGACTCTTGATTTCAATTATGAAAATATTGAAATCTCCACAAAACCCCTTCTGATTAATGAAATGTCTATAGTTATCCATATGCAATTATATGGCATGAGTTACAAACTTTTATCCAGATGAGGAAGAGAGTCATTTTGTTAGACGACTATTTTAAAAAACTGCACAATATATGAATCTCACAGCTGATTCGGAAAATAAATATCGAATAACTGATGATCATTTATATGATAATAAATAGCTAAGAATTACAATGAATAGTTAATGAAGTACTTCAAAGAATAAAGTGGATAAACTAACTATAATATACAAAAGAATTAGATTTTAAATGAAGTGGTGGTCTAGCTTTAATTAACTCATGCTTTCAATTATGAAAATATTGGAAACTCCACAAAACCGCTTCTGAAGTGAAAAATATGATTATATAATAATAGTCAGTAATGAAATCTAAGTAATAATGAAAGGCAAATATCAACAATGGTCTTATTAGAAAACAATGATGGTATTCTCAGTTTGAAGAGGAAAAAAAGACATCTTTTAGAAATCAATTCATGTACTCTTATGAGATACAAATTATTAAAAAGTCTGGTTTGTATAAGAACTGAATAAAGATAAACTTAAATGAAATAATTAACTACATGGAATGTTTTCAAATTGTTGAGTGTGTACTGAAGTAATCGTCTTTTTCCATTGTTGAAATTCAGAACCGAAATTTCATCAATTTTTTTTGTTCCATATATACTTTTGAACAGAGAAATGAGAAGACAAATTTTGTGAAATAGTACCATTTCGTGCTTTCTCGTCAGTCACATACAAGCAACATGTTATTCGTGTAAATACAGTTTTGAAGATAAGGTAAAAATTTCTTATTTAGCATGACATTCACTCACTAGAACCATGGTAAACAAAGGTCAACGTACAGTTGTTTTTGAACACATAAAGTTGGACTTTTCCGACCAATCAAGATAGCTTCGAGTAGTTTGAGTGTGTGTGGGTTTTGATGACATGTCACAACTCTAAAGGCTGATTTTGGGTCAATTTGATGACCACTCATCATTAGATGTTTTGCAATGGACGAGGCTGGGTTTCTTGATCGATCTTGAGATGACGGGCTAGGTGGATGAATCATGGATTTGATTAACCATCTTGGAATATGTTCCCCTATCCTGTCCTCCAATCAGCGATCTGTCCTACCTAAGTAACTTTCTCCGCAGTTACATATATATACTTACCATATATACTTACCAAGTAAATTACATCATTATGACATTTAGTCATATGATTTAATATTTTTGAATTGGTCTAAACTGTTCAATTCAAGATCCGGGTTTTGTCTTATTTGGGACTCGTCAGCTAGATGTACATGGATATTAATGTTGATGTTAGCGCATAAACTTAAGCTCTATACCTTCTCATTCAAACACCGACGCTTTATGCACTATTTTCAATACAGTAGAGAATCTAACACAATTTCTAGTACATATGAAAAATGTACTAGTGAAGAAATAACTAGTGATGATAATAATAATAATTCTATGCAGCATAACGAGACCGAGAATACTGTAGTGATCAGATGGGTGCTAGGTCAAACATTTTGTTGTAAAACAGTTATCAAAACAATCGAACTCATTAAAATCTTTACAATAAAATGGAAATGAAATTTCAGACAAAAATGTGAATGTAGTCCCTTGAAAAGTGATCAAGGGACTTTCTAGAACAATTCGAATAGGAAGCCATGACCGGTTGAATTCAATCAAACCATTATTCATCTATCATTTATTATTTTACCAGGTAACCAAAATAGATGATAATTTATGTTAGTATTTTCATTTGTGACTTATTAATTTTTACGGAAAATGTTTAGATAATTTACAAAGATTATTAGTTGTTTAAATTCCCATGGTGTTGTTTTGTTTGAATCTTCCCATTGATGTTTAGGACTGCAACTGGTCAGTCTCTAATTGATCATATGTGAGTACTGTGCGTATTGCCTCGATATAGCCTTAACTCACAAGCATTGTAGACATCAACTGTGAGATGCAGTTACATCCAGCTGATGAGTTCCAAATAGTACGAAACGCGCGTCCTGGATTCCACTGCTAGCCACTATCCGTCTTCGCTTATTGGTTATTCGTTTGTTTGTTTTTTCACTAAATTTTGGTTTAGATTATAAACTCCTTACATTTTAACCAACTTTCATCGAGATGATCTAACTGAAAAAACAGACTTAATTAACTGAAAAAGAATGTTATAAAATTAACTTAATAAAATACAAATAATAAAATTGTATTTATCTCATAACTTTTACTGCTAATCCATATGCACCATAGGTTTTATGATCATGATTTATATTTACGAACCGTTATTTATTTATTTAAACATATAAATATTGGTACAAAAGGGGCACCAGATACATATGCGCCACAAAAATCTCATTTGATTTGTGTGACGGCTGTGATACTGCCCGGGTTCCGAAACCGAAACAGATGGTTTACTTTAGGGGACCACACCCGGAGCGTTCAATCTAAAGGTCTGATCCACAAGGAAGTGGAGCATCGTAAAAAGATGCAGTCCCATGGTAGCCGGTGACCAGCGATTGATTCATACGCCATTTGTTCCCTCAATATCCTGGAGCCCATTGGTTTGAAATCAGGGTTTTCCAACTCCTCTAGGTGGAGGCGCTGTGTCCACCAACCCGGTTACAACACTGGACATTCGCTTTTCGTCCTCTCAATTTCGTGAACATCCCCGCCGTGAGAAGGCAGTGAGTAGGACTTTCGTGGCAGATGCTATATACGCGTGGCTGAGTCGACATAATGACAAAATTAACAGTAGATAACACTAGGTATTTTTATAACATTTCAAGTTGTAGAAGATATATATCGAGAATTATTCTCACTTGGTACACTTATGAAACCAAAGGAGTACTAGACAGTTTTGTCTTATGTTATATACCGATAACAATAGTGAATAGCAACTTTGGAATCCATTTATGGACCAATATTATGCATATATTTTTTATCGTATAATTGTAAAATAACTAAACTATTCATATCCATGTTACCCTTATTATAAGCTTTATTTTAACCCATAGAATATTATTATGCGTTTTACCATTCTTGAGTTATCCCTAGTCTATTAATTGCTGCCTCCCACATTCACAGCCACATTTGGCTAAGTCTTGTACAAATGTTATTTTTTATTTTATGGTATAATGTGGTCAGTTTGTTTGGTATATAAACTCAGTATATTTGAAATACAATGATTCATACCGCAGAGGCTGTTATTGGTGTTCTGGTCTTAACTGACTGGATGAGCTAGGCAGAATGCAGGGCCGATACGAACTCTAGACTACTCATACGATTTTTCATGTGTCACTGTTCCAATCAATAATTCGCTACTCTCTAATTAGCGATCTTATCATGTCATACGTTAGCAAGGTATCCATTCGGCCACATGATATAACATCTTACTATGAAATCCTTCATCAATGTTTATATTTTACTAACATTCACAATAATTCATCTTTTATTTTTCCATTATTATTTCTTTTTTTTAAAATTTATAGATAACATATTTAAATGGTAGTAAACCAGTCGCAGCACCATGTGAACGTAAAGGTATATGGCGTAAATTTATACATGCACAATATTTAAATTGTGCTACATTTGAACCATATAGTTATTTACGTTCTGATATAACTAATATAGAAATGTATATTTATTTAGATGAAATGTTAAATCGTGCTGATTGTATTGATTGTTTTCATGGTGAAGTGAAATCCCAATTATCTGGTGCATTAATATCAATACATGATGCTAATACATTACCAAATATTAATGATAAAAGTATTAATTTAAAACCTGGTACATTAACTGAATTACGTTTATCTATTATAGAAAATATACAACAAATGCCACCATATGGTAGATGTTCTATAAATCATCCATTAAATATAACATTATATGATATGTTATATAATTATTCAGAATATGCATGTCGTGTATCAACAATACAAAATAATATTAATCAACAATGTAATTGTTATACAATGGAATATCCATATAATGAAAATAAAGGTTATAAACCATGTACTGATTTATCTCAATTTATTAATTTATCAAATTGTAATCGTAATAATTTTAATTTAACTAATTTATGTATTAATAATTTAAAAAATTTTATATCAAGAATGATGTGTAAACGTTCTGTTATTGAAAATTATCTTCATGGTGAATTACCTAATTGTAAAATGCCATGTTCATTTTATTCATATGAATCAGAACAATCAATATCAACATGGCCAACTAAAAGTTGGCAATTAACATGGTTAAATTCATCATATAATAAAAAATTAGGTATATTTAATAATACAGAATTTATACCATATTTAAAAGCTCAACAATTATTAGAATTAGGTAATCATATTGATGCAGTTAATATATTAGATAAGATTGATGTATTAGAACGTAAATTATTGGCAATATTAATTAATAGACCTAATTTTGATGTACGTAAAGTTGAAGAAAAAATTGTTTTATCATTAACTAGTTTATTATCACAAACTGGTGGTTTATTTTCTATATGGATTGGTTTATCAATGATATCATTAGGTGAATTATTTGAATTATTTATACGTTGTTATATAAGATTAAAACATTTTAATCATAATAATAATATTACTAATAATAGTAATAGTAATGATAATAATAATAATAATAATAAAGTAATACAACATAATAATAATTCATTAAAACAAAATAATTATTATCCATTATCGAATTATAATGATCATATATTACATAATTTATTATTATTAAATCAATTACATAATAATAATAGTAATATTAATAATATTGATAATAATAATGCAAATGATATTATTAATAAAATCAATAAAATTTTAATAAATGAAGAAAATAATTTACATAATTTACTATTATCGAAAAAAAATGAGAATGATCAATCAATAAATCAATAAATCAATAAATTAATTAATTATCAATCAATAATTAAATATTGATTACAATTCCAATGAAGATAGAAAAAACAAATTGTATTTACATATATGAACATAATATTGTGTTAAAAAAAATTTTTCAGAAGGATTTTTGTGGATATTTCAGTATTTTCATAGTTTAAAACATGAGTCAATTGAAGCTAGACTATCGTGGAAAAACTGGTTATGCCATCCAGTGCTTCCAGGTTTTCCATGATGATTTAGCTTCAATCGATTAATGATTTAAACTATGAAAAAAAATTTTTTTGTTGATAAGACTATAATTTATAGATGAGATCTTTGTACAATGTTAGATTGATCTTGAGAGTGTTCACTTAATAACCAGGATTAATTGTGAAGAATTATGATTTACAATTGATGATTAAAGTTTTTAAAAAAAAGATTTCCAATGTTCATCATGAACTGATATCAATGATAAGGCTAAAAACTTCATTCAGATCTAAAGGGATGGATGAATTTTGCACCAAAATTTAAAACCCGTTATCATAAATCTGTTTGTTACGTATTTAAGTTATAGCCCCTCCCCACGCCATATTTTCAATATTGATATGTGGTGATAAAATATTTGTGTAGAAAATTTTTTTTTAATTTTTCTTCATCTAAAACATTAATTGTGTTGTAACCATGTAATTTTGTGAACGAAAATTGTTATCTTATTTTTCATTATTTTGTCTCGGTGTTTTTCAATACAAATTAATATTCATAAATGTTTTATTCTTATTCCTGAATGATTTGAATTTAGTTTTCATTCCCAGATAATATAAACAACGGTGAAAACTTATTGTATAAGTGTTATATCTCAAACTTATATTATTAGTATGTTGCGTAATACCTGAGCATTCGAACGCTAGAACCATCCCAAGTCGCAAAATAAGAAGACAGAAGACTAGTAAGTAGGAATGTTATTCCAAACAGTGGCAAATAGAGTACAAAAATCTCATGTATTTATAGTTTTTTGGCTGAAAGTAAATCATCATTTCAGATAGCCAATAGACATATAGAGGGTCCTTCTTATTCAACCAATAGGAGAGCTACATGTCGATATTATAGAATGTTCCTCTAGCGGTGATTGAATGGAATGTCCTCGGCTCTTTCTGGGCTTTTTGAAGCTCCTTTGAGTTTGCCAACGAGTCATTTTTACAATAAGATTTTCAAACTAAAGTTAGAAGTAGGTATTAAGTATTCTATAGTTTTCAGTGGTTTTCAGGTTGAAATTGATCTATGCTATTTATTATTGCATATTTATATGAAAAATAATTGAAAAAAATTTATTACAGATGAATACATACATATATGAATGCAAATGGTAATATTCTGGTGTGTACTACTTATATCGACATTAGTAGTATATAACGCTAGTCAGGAATAGGATGTCTGGCAGCAGAAGATTATGAAGATCGAGAAGGGAAGAACGAGAATAGAAAACAGTTGGTATGAAAATGCAAGAACAATAAATTCTAAGACAATTAATGAACATCTTGCAAATAAAGTATTATAGTGTGGTTTTTCTATTTTATCAAGTAGCTCTGTAAGTTTATGGTGACTATAATCGGTTATCCTCACTTATGTTCTCCTTCAGTACAATATTTGTGGTGCATAACGTGTCTAAGATGCTGCTTGATTACAATAAAATCCTTCAGAAAACCCCTACACCATGGCATATACAAAGATTTTTGTTTTGATACAAATGTTTAGACGAATAGTAATAAGTTTTCTGTAGAGATGACGAAACTAGAACCCGAAGACTGCATGTATCCCTAATCGGATCTTCTGAGGCCAAGGAAATTGTTTAGAGAAATGTTTATAAACTAATGCGATTGAGATCATGTTAAGATACGTTAGGAAAACATGGTATATTGGCTACCTGAAGAATTCAATGAAGCTAGCCACCTAATAGTCGTTTATTTGAGGACGTAGCAGAAGTCATAAGAAGTATCATTGGTTAGTAAGGTTCACTCAATTTCAATAATTTGCAACCAAGTCCCATTTCTGAACAGACTGGTACCTCCTGACGAAGAACAGAAAGTCAATAAGCATAAATTAACTCTTCGCAGAATTATTCATTAATTTCCTTACACTAAAACTATAATTGTTTAGAAAGCAGTGAAACTATCTAAAATTTACCATTTGTACCTCCATCTGATCTAAGTTAGACAACTACTGGAAACTAAGAAGCATTGGACAAAATTTTTATCCTGGTATAAGAATTTCCATTAGTGTACATCAACGACTGAAAAGGGAAGTGCCTTGAGATCTAGCTGGGAGCGTTTAACATTTGGACCACTGAGCTGTCGTTTTTAATTTCAATCAATTCGCGATATCTTCCATTTCCATGGTTGTTAACTACGCCACATCAGATATGAAGGAATTCCATCAGTGTTAGCTTCTCACAAGAACTCGGCGGATAGACTCTAGATATTATTTACTAGTGAGCTCATAGTTATTATTCCAACTGCTCATATGACAATAACAGAATAATCCGAATGAGCTAAAATTCAATTGATACTTTGACATCTAAAACATACTGAGAGTTATGAAACAACGTTTATACTTCTACGACTCAAAGGTTGAAAACCAAACTTAATGTCAGTTACTTATAATTTTTACCAGCATATGATGAAATATGGTGCCATTCATTTGAAAAAGAAATGAAATGACATGAATAGAAAAGAATATGCAATGTTAACTGGAAGGAAAGAAGATTATCATGAAAGAAAACATCCTTAAAGTTGTTAAGATAAATAAGGTAAAGCCTATATATAACGGTCTCCCAATGGGCAATCACAATTGACGTTACTGTGTCATTTATCATTACTACAAACTTTCGGTTTACTTGTCTTATCAAATAAGAGTAAATGTGCCTCATACTATTTACTATGTATAACTTTTTAAAGAAATCATCTGTTTTTCAGTAACCTTGTTAGGGAAAGTTTTAGTAGACCCATTTTAAGAAATTAAAGTTGAATGTTATGACTGTTCAATATGTGTGGAAACAAACTACCTGTCAAACTACAAACAATGTATCTATTGAATAAAGCTCATTGTTAGTTAATAAATATACATTCTTAACATACTACTTATAAGGATCAAAAAACTGAATCATATTTCAGTATCTTATCTTTACTCAGATATGAAATATTGAACAACTGAAACACATCTTCGGTTCGTCTAGAAAAAAGATGTGACTTTTAACGGCATGGATAAAATCAGTATCAGTTCTCATAAAATTACAGATTCTGGTCAGTTACAACTGAACCGAAACCTAAATCCAAACGGTCTTGTTAATTGCTACTGTGATGCATGTTACTGATGCCGTCAAATATAAGTAGTATGTATCACTAATCGGAAGTGAAATGCCTAGTGGCAGAAGGTTGAGAAAATCGAAGACAAGACACAGTTATTGGTATGGAAATGAAGGAATATTCAAGTATGATACAACTGATGGATATTTTGAAAATGATGCATTTACTGTATGGTTCTCAGATTTTGCCAAGATATTCTGCATTATGGTATTAAAATACACTTCATTGTCTCCACTAGTGTCCTCGTTCAAAGCCCTAACTCTTAACTTTCTAGTACAGAAACGTCGCGTCAGTTGAACACGACAAAATTTCTATTTAATTAATTAGATTCAATCAACATTAAGAGTTTGACGACAACTATTTGCTTACTATTGAACGGATGGTTAATCTAATTTTAATGCACTTTCATGAAGTTTACTAAGATCCTAATTTAATTTGAAATATTAGATTCAATTAGATTCAATCAACATTAAGAGTTTGACGACAACTATTTGCTTACTATTGAACGGATGGTTAATCTAATTTTAATGCACTTTCATGAAGTTTACTAAGAACCTAATTTAATTTGAAATATTCTGTCTCATTCAAAACCATGAAAAATCATGAAACTTCAAACTATGTGTTTCATCCATTGCGTTTTTATCACCTGTATCTTATGAAACAGACTTATGCATGTAGCCCCATTTTTTAAACGATAACTGATGTTCTCTAGTGTCATTCAGATTAAATAAACAATAAATGTGTTGTAAGCAAAGATGAATAGTGGCTAGCAGTGGAATCCAGGATGCGCGTTTCGTCCTATTTGAGACTATTCGGCTGGATGTACCTGCATAAATCTATTAAAAAACGAATAATAACGATGACCTATTCATTTGTATTGCTTGTTTGAATCTTCCCATTGATGTTTAGGACTTCAATTAATCAATATCTTATCGACATAAATACAACTTGCGTACATTGACTTGATATTTAAAAGCATAATTGGCAGAGAAAAATGGTAGCTAGCAGTAGAATTCAGGATGTGAGATTCGTTCTATTTGGGACAGGTTAACTGGTTGTACTTGGATCTCAAAATTGATGCGCAAGCCAGTGACATCCTTGACTCAGTATCCATATATTTAACTTAATGGCGTTTGAAATAAACGATATTGGATTCAAAGTCCAAGGGTGAATGTCAACTCTGGGATTCAGGTGCATCTCACTGACAAGTCCCAAATAGGGCGAATCTTAACTCCTTAATTCCACTCCTAGCCACCATTTTCCTCCAATTAAAATTATCAGTATTTAACAGAAGGGGGTTTTGTGGTGAATTTAGTATTTTTTAATAGTTGTATTCATGGGTCAATTAAAGCTAGACCAACATGGAAAACCTGGAGTCACTGGACGTCCGTTTCGTTCTAATATGAGACTCCTCAGCAGTACGTACCCACGATCCTGTCCGCGGGATTCAAACCCAGGACCTGTCAGTCACGCGCGCTGAGAAGTTCCATATTAGAAAGAAAATGACCGTTCAATGCTTCCGGGTTTTCCATGGTGGTCCATCCTTAATTGACCCATGAATTCAACTACAAAAAATATCAGTATTTACAGCGAATTACAACCGATGAATATATGGAACTGAAAATCGTACAAAATAAAATGTTACTGTAGTAAACGAAA